GTACTCTTTCCGATGCCTCTATGGTCCCATCTAATTAATTAATTTATTTTATTTTTTTTTTTTTACAAAATGCTTGTTGAATACCTTGAATTATAAAGGTTTACATTCTTTTTCGTATTTTATATATATTTATTTTATACAGCTTATATTCTTATGACTAGCTAGAAAGACAATATTTACATTATTTAATTTATATTCATATATTTATTTTTATTTAATCTGTACTCTTTCCGATGCCTCTATGGTCCCATCTAAATTTAAAAAAAGAAAAAAAAAAATTCACTTACTGATTAAATACATTCAAATAGCAAAGTTTACATAGCTAATTGATGTTAATTTTAAACAAATATCAATAACGTTTTCTAGCTTCATTATGAAGCATATGCATCATGTATTTTTTTGCTATTTATAGAATGGAAATAAAGTCAACAAAATGTTTATTTATAATCGTTCATCATACAAAGTATTTTCAATTTATTTATAGACCTCCCCATAATTTTTCCTTTATTTCGGAACTAATCTCTCGACTTCGTTTAACATTTCCTGTGATATTGCCTTAATTAGAATTGGAGAACACACTCAACACATTCGATGGATATTAATTGATCCATGTTGAGAGCCTGTCAAATGCGCCGATGCCTGAATAATGAGCCGCCCAAATAACTTTGACAAGCCGTAAAAATTTCAATTGAGTAAATGCTCACCCGCCCGAGAGCTCTAGCTCTCTCTCTCTCTTTCTCTCTCTATCTCTGATCGGAGGGTCTCGTATGTGCTAAGTAATTTACATGAGGCCCAAAATAGCCGCAAATAATGCTATGTGTCAAAACAGAACATCAAACGGAAGCGTGAGCTGGGAGCTATGGGAACTCAGGCCACTGAGGCCACTGAGATTGGGGGCGGGCAGGTAGAGCTCAAGACTCGAGAGAAAACTATTTCTTGTGTCTTTTCTCTTCTTTGGGCACAGACATCAAAGTCCTCATTCCCTGGGCTGCCAATAAAAGAATTGAATGAATGCATAAATCATTAAAAACGGCCAGACGATTGCCGCCAGCAACTGGGCAAACGCTGCCGTGGGGCAGCTAAAAATATATTTTCAGAGGGGGCAGCCTAGAGTTGCCGCCGCTGCTGCTGCTGGGCAACTTCAAAGCTATTGCTGTTGCGATTGCAACACAAAGCGTCTAATTAGATGTTGCAACAGGCAAAACCGCAATGGCTAAGCAAATATAATCTAAGTGCTGCCCGCCTCCCCCCGCCGCCAGCTTCTGCTGAGCGAGCTTTGGCTGGCCTTAAGCCATTTATATAGATTTACGACTAGGTGTTGCCTTGTGCCGCTTGCCAGCGCACATTTGCGGAGCTTGCCACAAGCTAAAGCGTTGACAAATTGCCGATGCCGCAGCGGAAGCTGCGCTGCCGCCATGTTTGCCATTTTGCTCAAGCTGTCAGCGAATGTGCGCCGGAAAGTATGCAGCGCAATATAACAAATGGCTTGTGGTGTTCGCTGAGCTGCGGTGCGCTTTGGCCAGCATGACCGGCATGGCTCCCTGTATGTGTGTGTGTGTGTGTGTGTGGACTTACTTCAATAATTTCCTAATACGTTCGCTCAACAAGACTGCATAAATTTATGCACGTGGCTGCGGCATGTGCTTTGCTAATCTTCTCCAGTGGCGCCGCCAGGTGTGCGGGGAGCTACGATAAAAATTTGCACTCCACTTTGGCCAAAAAGTTGTCGAAAAACATTTGAACATCAAAGTGCCACGACAACAGGGGAAAAAGAAATGGAAGCGGAAAAAAATTGCAAAAAAATGCTTCAAAAATTGTTCGCACTTTTTTCAGTATTTTTCTGTTTGTTGTTTGCCCTGCTGCTGCTGCTCTAAGCACTTAAATTGGAGCAACGCAACTGTGATGTGAGCTGTGCTAGGGAAATAAAGAGTTTATTGATTGTCGAGGCCAATATGATTTGTTTAAATATTCGCAAACGCTGCTTTATTTGAGGACTGTTGTTAATCAAGACGCAAAGTTTCTGGGGCCCACGTCGAGCGAAATATTTATGAAATACAGAAGCCATGCTAGGGAAAACAATGTGAGAGGCAGCGTAGCGGTTGCCCTGTCGGTTGAAATAACAGGGAACGCGAGCCTGAAATTCGAGGTGAAGCAGCGTAGCATGAAAGAGAAATATTTTCTCTTTTCATATCTGCTATTTGTATTCTTTTATTTGTTTTATGTTATGTATTATTTTGGGCTTTTTTCGATTTTTTTCAAAAGAGAAAATTACAAACTCGAACCAACAACAACAACAACAAGGAGAGCCGGCAACGGAAGCGTCGAACAGACAATGGGCGCAACAGGGGCATGGGCGTGGCCATGTAGTGGGCGTAGGCGTACGTAGGCGTGGCCCACGTGCTGGGCCGTGTGGTGGCTTTGAGTATCTCGTTTCGCGCTCCGCGCCACACTAAAGCGGAAGCATTGTGTTAAAATAACAAACAATCAAGCGAATCATGCAGGATGTGCAAATAAGAAATAAATATATTTTTATCAGGCCGAACGCCAGCGCACAGCTTCCTACCTGACAACTTCAATTGGCTGCCGCCTCCTGGGCCGCCTTTAAATGCTTTGAAAATATAAAAACGAAAAGCGAAAGAGGAAAAAAAAAAAAAAGACGAAATAAATAAATAAGCAAGTAGAAATCAACTTTTTCTTTGGCTTTTCTTCCATTGCAGTACCCGCACGCCTGGTTTGGGCCGCTGCCGGCAAGACCGTGGAGCTGCCTTGCGACCTGACGCCACCCACGCCGCAGGACTCGGTGAAGCTGCTGCTTTGGTTCAAGGATACCACTGGCATACCGTTATACAGGTGAGTGCCGCTGCAAGTGCTCGAACATGGCAAATCAATTCCAGAGCCTGGTCAAACTATTTAGTTGACAGAGCGCTGGAAAAAAAACCCGACTGAGCCGGCGCTGAGTAGATGTTGCCGACTAGCGGAAATGTTGTCCAAGTGCTGCACACACACACACACGCACACATTGGCAGATCTACACACACGTCCACAGGAGCACATCTTGCAGGCGACAGCCATCCATCAAAAACGTGAAGTAATCGTCAACATCCTTTGCTGCCATCACACTTGGCGCATTTTTCACATCCTTTTTTTTTTTTTTTTTTTTTGGCTTCCATTCAGTCCTTTTTTCTGTGCGTTTTGCCTGAGCTCCGGCTATGGTGTGTGTTTTGTTGTTGTTGTTGTGTGACGGTATTTTGGCGCAGAATACCGGAAGAAATGTTTTGTGTACTCGCGCGCGTGTGTGTGTGTGTCTGCATGTGTGTGTGTGTGTGTGTGTGTGTGTGACAAGGATGCGCCCGTCCACGCCGTCATAATCCACTTTGTTATAATAAATGTAAAGCACATCCGATTACAGTTGCCATCGCTAAAGTGTAGCAAATTTTCACGCACATACGCATCTGACACGCCCCCCACCACCGTCCGCCCAGTCGCCCTTCCGCTGCCAGCTTTTGTAAATTTCAGTTGATAAATTTTCAATGTGGCTCGCGCATTTCAAGTGCCTCTTAGCGCGAGACTTGCGTGCCCCAACGGCAACTATCCGGCATGTATAGTAGGTGCACAACTGGCCACCGTCAGTCGATAATCGTAAAGAACTGCAGCTCTGGCTATGGCTCTAGCCGGGCAACAATTCAGCCATAAGAGTGCCGGGCGTTGTACATGAAATAAACAGAGTAATTTGCTAAAACAGCAACAAATTGCTGCAATTTGCGCAAAGCTGCCAAAGTCGCAACGTGGCACGCAGCAACAGTAACGAAACATACACACACACACACACACAAACACTCATACACACTCACAAACACACACACGTGCAAATTGAGCGTCATTTTTTATGGCCGTAAATTATGGTAGCAGTAGGACAACCTGGGCGCCAGAGCAAACGAATGGCCAAGAGATGCCTGCATATGTTTATTTATGATGTATAATAAGCAGCGCTGCCTGCTGCCTGGTGCCTGGTGCCTGCTGCCAGCCACGCCCACACACTAAATTCACACTTAACCATTCGCTTTGCAGTCTGGACTCGCGGGGCGGCAACGTCAAGCTGGCGCCACATGCGGCCATAGCTAGCGATCTGGGTCAGCGTCTGTTCTTCAGTATTGGCGATAATCCCAAGGATTCGCGGCTGCAGATTAAGGACGTTAAGCCCGAGGATGGCGGCGTCTATCGTTGCCGCATCGACTTCTTCAACTCGCCCACGCGCAACTTTCGCCACAATCTGACGCTCGTTGGTAAGTCCAATTGATCTGAAGCAAGTCGGAAATGAACTGTTTTACTCACTGAGATTCGCTCTCTCTCTCTCTTTCTCCTTCTTTCTCTTCCTTTTGCAGTGCCGCCTGAGGAGCCGCGCATCTTTGATGCTCAGGGCAAGGAAATCTCTCAATTGGCTGGGCCATTTCGTGAGGGTTACGAGCTGTTCCTCTGCTGTCAAGTGAGAGGCGGTAGGTTTTCTATAAAAAAAAAAATAATAATATGCTCATGAACATGTATATATACACATATATGCGTAATATGCATAAATTAAATTAAATCATTTCAATTTGAGACAGACCAATGCCTGACCTCAGGCATGTCGAAGCTGATTTTCCATAATTGCAAAAATATATTTACCTTTCAATTATGATATCAATTACTACTGAGCTTTGCCCAGACTATATTAGCAATTAAAATGTGAGCTTAGAAAACAATTTATATATGAATTGAATTTATTTATATATTTGCCTTTGGCTTTAATTAATCAGGCGTTGCAATTAAGATTTACTAAAGAAAAAAATTTAAGCACAAAAAAACGCAAAAAGAGTGGGAAAAATTTTTTATTTATTTTTTGTTGTGGCA